TCTGGGAGAAATTACTTAGGAAGGTTTATGTTGGCTCACAGATTTAGGGGTTTATAGTTCAAGATTGGGCATTCCCAGAAGTCTGAAATCTGGCGACAGTGCAATGTGTATGCAGACAGAATCACAAGGCAAGCCAGGAAGCAGGGCGAGGGGCACGTTCTTGTCTCCATGTGGTTTCTCTTTATAGTCACCATGATTCAATCACGGGGTCTGCCTCAGCAACTGAATATACAGTCTAATCACTTCCCCAGGTCCCACCTTTAGACACAGTAGTTGGATTAAGCTCCATCTTTAAGACATTAATGTAGGACTCTGGAGACCAAGCTTTAACACTTGGTTCTTTGAGGGACACCCAAACCACTATCCAAACCATGACAACTAATGAAGACAGAAGTACCAATTTCACCAAATCATTTGATTATCCTAGATTGGCAGGGATTATTTAAAAGATCAAAGCATTAGTGTTCTACCTCGAGATATCACAAAGTATTAACTAAACCACTCTTTGCCTTAAGAATGAAAGGCATAGTTGGCCCTGCTAGGGTGATTGCTTTTAAGCTCACTGTCAAAATGACAACTGGGGATAAAATTAAAGATAAAGCACTTTCACTGTCCCCTCAACGGAAGTATTTTGGGGCCATTTCTCTCATATGCTTATCATTTCGAGTGTCAAAGAGAATTTCTGCCATGTCCAGGTTGCTCTCTGGCCCCAGAGAACGTTCTACAGATAACAGTGGGCAAATTAAATATATTTAATTACAGATGGTATCTCACCCTACTTTAATGGCACCTACTGAATGGCACAGTGGTAAGGTATCGTTTAATTGTTTTCAGATAGTTGAGTCAATGACAAAGCACTTTTTTGTAGGTCTTCTCCAATCGGAAACATCTGAATCTCTTCTCTGAGTTTTCAAAGTTTACATTTATCTCTTTATACCGCACAGAATTAAAAAAAAATCAAACGAGATTCCAATATTTGTTATAATAATTGTCAAAGGTATTGTGGAAAATCACAAAACAAATCTGGTTAACTGAGGGACTTATCCATTCAATTGTGGGGCACGATACAGAACAGACCAAGTGCTAGGAAGGGAGAATAAAGCACATAATCTAGAACTTGTCCTCTATCTATTCTGTTGAGAGACACTAACATGAGAATAATCATCACAATTTATGTCTCATGAATACATTTAAGATAATAATAATAATAAAAATTTTTAAAAGATGATGAATTTATTTTGAAGCAAAAATATCTAAATTTCATTCACAGATTTTGATAATATGCATTTCTTTTGAGTTTCTGAAGATTCCTTACACATCTTTTAATTACTATCAGCCAATATTCCTCTAAAGCAACTGAATATGCACAAGACTATGGAAGTCTGTCTGACTGCCTGACAATATTCAGGAAGTCATTCCAAATCATTATGGCTTTCCTGAGGATTTATTAGAATTTTGGGTTCAGGTTAAATCTAGAATTTTAGCTCTAGGTCAAAGCAGACCTGCTGTAGAATTTAGATCAAGAGTGGTGAAAAATGTTCTCTGAATGTCCATCCAAGCCACAACTCTCTAGCACCCGCACGGTGGGAAAACGCCGTTGAACAGATATTAAGAACATCAGGTCACTACCATATGAGTACTCCTCATCCCTGGGAGTATAATTCTGTTCAAGTGGATCCACTGGAAATTGGAGCAGTGTGCCCAAAGCCCCCAATTGTCCCTCCATTCCATCCTAAGATCAAAGAAGACAGCCCAGATTCAGACTGAAAACATCTGTCACACACTTTGTAGAAATGTCTGAGCATCCAACAGATGGATGAAAAACATTCTGGGGCTTATCAGTGTGTGCAGTGACCAAATACAAATTAAAATATGTGAACAGTGTATGTTTCTCAAAAAAATGTTACTTGATAGTAGTAGAGAAAAACAAACATATTCATTATTATCCATAATAGCAACTTTCTTAACTCTCTTATTGTGGAAGTCTGTGAAGTTATGAAAAATACTCACTTTGCATGTAGAAAAGTTGAGTATGTGAAAGATTGTATTCAAAATGTTACATAGCAGTGAGATTTTTCATTATATTGATTTTTTGGACATATTCCTCAAAGTAAACTTTATATCTAAATATCAGTATAATTAAGCTAATAATTTTCCTAGTATAGGTGCCTAATTGCTATAATGATATCAGATGAATTACAGTGAATAAAAACAGAGCAAAAAATATTAAATGGCACAGGTGTCTGGTTTGCTTAAGGATCAAATCCTACAGGTATGTGTGTTTTATATTTTGCACTGCCTTTCAATATGATGCAATCAGTTGAGTCATTTAGCATGCATAGCTAGAAGGAAATTTAGATCATCCAATTTAATCTCTCATTTTAGAGTTGAGAAAACTGACACCCAGAGAGGTTGTTATTTGCTTAAGGTAACTGAGCTAATTAGCAACTCCCCTAGCAATAGAAACATCTTCTACAATACCCAGCTCATCAGGAAGCATTTCTAATTATATAAACCTTTGAATAATTTGAATAAAAGGCCTACGGACAAAGCAAACTTATAAAAAAAATCTCCAAATTTGTAACTCTTACATCCAAGACATCAGAAATATCCTTTTCTAAAATTGTTTTAGATGCATTAACATTGGCATTTGCTTTGGGTATTAACTGAGCACTCCCTACCCACCTTTCATGTAAAATATCATCAGAAGGTCCTATACTGTGCACTTTATGGTTTATCTGTTTATACAAATTAGCAAGTCTCCAAATTCATGTATCGTAGTACCTTTTTCATTTTACTTTGTAAGCTTCTGGCTTATAACCACACACAAGCAATCTGTGCACCATCAATTTTCCCTTTTATGCACTCAACTAGTGAGCTGAGCATCTTCTTACTAGCACTTGTATAATTCCAATTCATTATTTATAAAATTATTTTCTTTTTTTTTTCTTTATTTTTTGACAGGCAGAGTTAGATAGTGAGAGAGAGAGAGAGAGAGAGAAACAGAGAGAAAGGTCTTCCTTTTTCCGTTGGTTCACCCCCCAGTGGCCGCTACAGCCAGCGCGTTGTGGCCGGCGCACTGTGCCGATCCGAAGCCAGGAGCCAGGTGCTTCCTCCTGGTCTCCCGTGCGGGTGCAGGGCCTGAGGACCTGGGCCATCCTCCACTGCACTCCCAGGCCACAGCAGAGAGCTGGACTGGAAGGGGAGCAACAGGGACAGAACCAGCGCCCCAACCGGGACTAGAACCCAGGGTGCTGGCTCTGCAGGCGGGGGATTAGCCTAGTGTGCTGTGGGGTGCTGGCCAAAATTATTTTATTAATATTATTTCTCCATTAGACATCACATTTATTCAAGAAAATCAAAAATTCATTTATACTTTGCAGAGATTGTTGGCATATAACTGGGTATCAATGAGTATTTTTGTAGTGGAATATCAAATAATTTTTAATTCATATCAGGGAAAAGATATAGAAATAGTGAAGCCATAATATGCCACTAATAGAATGGCTATAGCATTTTCCATTGGCAGAGGTTACATATTTTGAAATACCACATTTTTCCACTAAGTGTTATCAAAACTATTTTAAAGACATGGGAATGATTTAGACAATTAAATTTAATCCTTTAATAGTGTTTCTCTGAATCTAAGTCCACCTTGCTTAAACCAATATTTTTTTTTTTGACAGGCAGAGTGGACAGTGAGAGAGAGAGAGAGACAGAGAGAAAGGTCTTCCTTTGCCCTTGGTTCACCCTCCAATGGCCATCGCGGCCGGCGCGCTGTGGCCGGTGCACTGCGCCTATCCGAAGGCAGGAGCCAGGTACTTATCCTGGTCTCCCATGGGGTGCAGGGCCCAAGCACTTGGGCCATCCTCTATTGCACTCCCTGGCCACAGCAGAGAGCTGGCCTGGAAGAGGGGCAACTGGGACAGAATCCGGCGCCCCGACCGGGACTAGAACCCAGTGTGCCAGCGCTGCAAGGCGGAGGATTAGCCTAGTGAGCCGTGGCGCCGGCCCCAGTATGTTTCTATCAGCTTTGATTTTCACTGATCAGATTTAAGAATTCAGATACTTGTAATTAAATATGTACATTTCTATGGACACATCCCTTTATTGCTCTAATTTTTGTGTTCCAAAGAATTGTCATGGTATTAATTGTATATTCATTAGATGAAGGAGATTGAGTGAGGAGATTTCCATGTCCAGTGAATGTCAGAAAAAGTGAGTACATCAGGCAGGGGCAGAGATTAAGAACAACATCTAAGATAGTGCCTGCTTTCCATATTGCACTGCCTTGTTAGAGTCCTGGGTCCTCTACTTCCAAATCAGCTTCTTGCAAATGGGATGCAGAAAATGTTGTCTCTATACTTGGGTCTGCCACCCAAGTGGAAGACCCAGACTGAGTTCCAGGATCCTGGCTTCAGTCACACAGTACTGGTTGTCGCAGACAGTTGGGGAGTGAACCAGTAGATGGAAGATCTCTTTTGGGTGTATCTCTATCCTTATTCCTTTCAAATAAAAAGAAAATGAATAAATACACACTTAATAATAGATGATTCTCTACCTGAAAAGCTATGAATGGAGAGGTATGAAGGATATATCAAATGTGTTATTATAGAATGTATCATATTGCTGGAACCTTATCAAAAAACTACCCATGTTAACAAGGAATTTATTGAGGAAGGGAACTACCTAATCTGGTAGACCTGGCATTGTAATTAGGAAGAATCCCATGACAAAACTAGCACTGAGTAGTCCTATCTTTCAGAGAGAATACAGGCACAGGAAGTGATGTGATAGGTTAGACTTAGATTGTTGTCTGCTTTCATTTGATGCCCTGAACCTCCACTCCCATCATATCCTCCATGCTATAGGGTCAAACTTCTCTTCTTTGTCTAGGTCAGCGTCATCCTCTGACCCATGTAAGCCTCTGAAATGTGAAAAAGTTCTTTGTGTCACTTGTGAGAAAAACCATATCTGATAATGTCTCCTTTTTCTTCCAGGAGATCAGCAATGTTCCAGAAAAAGACTGTTCCATCAGTCGATTCTGGAACAAAGAGGACATGGATAAAACTTCAATTCTTTTTGTTGTTGTTGTTTGTTTTTTTTTCCTTTTTTTATTTTTTAAACTTTTATTTAATGAATATAAATTTCCAAAGTACAGAATATGGATTACAATGGCTTCCCCCCCATAACGTCCCTCCCACCCGCAACCCTCCCCTTTCCCACTCCCTCTCCCCTTCCATTCACATCAAGATTCATTTTCATTTCTCTTTATATACAGAAGATCAGTTTAGCATACATTAAGTAAAGATTTCAACAGTTTGCTGCCACACAGAAACATAAAGTGAAAAATACTGTTTGAGTACTAGTTATAGCATTAAATCTCAATGTACAGCACACTAAGGGCAAAGATCCTACATGAGGAGTAAGTGCACAGTGACTCCTGTTGTTGACTTAACATATTGACACTCTTGTTTATGGCATCAGTAATCACCCTAGGCTCTTGTCATGAGTCGCCAAGGCTATGGAAGCCCCCTGAGTTCACTGACTCTGATAATTTTTAGACAAGGCCATGGTCAAAGTGGAAGTTCTCTCCTCCCTTCAGAGACAGGTACCTCCTTCTTTGATGACCCGTTCTTTCCACTGGGATCTCACTCGTGGAGATCTTTCATGTAGGTTTTTTTTTTTTTTTTTTTTTTTTTCCCCCAGAGTGTCTTGGCTTTCCATGCCTGAAATACTCTCATGGGCTTTTCAGCCAGATCCAAATGCCTTAAGGGCTGATTCTGAGGCCAGAGTGCTGTTTAGGACATCTGCCATTCCATGGGTCTGCTGTGTATCTCACTTCCCATGTTGGATCATTCTCTCCCTTTTTTATTCTATGGGCTAGTATTTGCAGACACTAGTCTTGTTTATGTGCTCCCTTTGGCTCTTAGTCCTATCATTATGATCAATTGTGAACAGAAATTGATCACTTGGACTAGTGTGATGGCATTGGTACATGCCACCTTGATGGGATTGAATTGGAATCCCCTGGTATGTTTCTAACTCTACCGTTTTAGGTAAGTCAGCTTGAGCACGTCCCGGATTGCACATCTCTTCCCTCTCTTATTCCCACTCTTATATTTAACAGTGATCACTTTTCAGTTAAGTTTCAGCACTTAAGAAGAATTGTGTATTGATTACAGTATTCAACCAAAAGTATTAAGTAGAACAAACAAACAAAAAAAAAACTTCAATTCTTAGAGGCATGGAAATTTATTAAGAAATAGACTTGGGCGGATTAAGCCACTGAGATTTTAAGGTCATTTCATATCATAGTATGTTTAACCACAAGGAACAAACAGACAGAAAGTCAAAGTCTTCAATTACCTCCTAGATATTTGAGAAAAATCGTTCAGAAAAGGAGTGGGACTGAAGACTGTGGAAACCAAAACATCTTGAAGATGAAAGATAGAGATGAATCTGACTGTAAAATACTGAAAGTAGTTAAAATTAAAATTACAGTAAAACTAAGAGCCATAGAAAAAGTGTTTTTATATTGGATTTGAATTCTATCTACTAAATCAGAAGGCTAAATAGCCATAAACTCTTGATTTTTGCCTTTGTTCTGAGAAAAACTGTGCATATATTGTTCAGAATGACACTGTTACTGTTGCTGATCTACCTGCCAGTTCTTTAGGCTAAAAGTATTGGAATCATCCTTGACTCTTTTCTCATATTATACATATAATTATTAGGCGCTCCCACTGGCTATAGCTTATTAACATTTTAGAGGTCTTTCAGGTGGTAAAAGAAGGTAAAGGTCATGAATCCATTATCTTCTCAAAATTTCCTCTCCAAACAATACAAAACAGACTCACAGGAACAAAGATCCTACTCAAAAGCCAGCTCTTCACATGACTTGATAATAGTGAATACTGAAACTTGAAAATAACTGAGTAAAGAAAAAGTAAGAATAAAAGCCGAAACTTTTATCCCTCATATTGCTGCCCAGCCCTGTCCAGTTGCAAAACCTTGCAGTGAGAAAAGGTGAACAATGGAAATGAATAGAAATCAAAAGAGGATTGCTATCAAAGTCTAAGAGCTTGAGAAACTATCAGAAATTATATAAAAAAAATCAGATTAGAGCACTATCTACAGAAAAGACATTTCAAATCATGAGTATGTGTAATTATAAGCTCCGAAGCCTGTCCTGTCTGTGGGTGTTAGTGGCTCTTTAGCTGGAGAGCTGCCTCAGGAACTGGGTTTACTGTGGTTGCTGGCCAGCCTCACGCCTTTTCCTGCGCCTCGGTTCCCGGGAGCGATCACCGCCTCCCCACTAGGCGGAGCAAAGTCAGCAGGGCGCGCTTGAGAAGGAGGGAAAAATGCCTAAAAAAAGACTGGTGCAAGGAAAAAGGCCGAAAACTGCCAGGAACGTGAAAAACAACTAAGAGCCTCTGGAAGCACTGTAGATTTAGCTAAACACCCGTGTAATGTTCAATGGAATGTGACAAGTGTCAGAGATGGCAGAATAGAGCATTTGGCTACTTTTGTAATTCTGTACAGAAGTTGCCAATCTGTGCACAGTGTGGGCAAACAAAATGCATGAGGAAATCTGATTGTGTCAGAAAGCATGCTGGTGTGTATGGTACTGGCCTGGCAATGGTGGGTGTAACATGTGACCTCTGTGAAGCTTGGGTGTGCCCTGGTAGGAAATGCCTCAGTACACATGCCCGTGCCTGCCCTCTTACTGATGCTGAGTGTGTTCCTTGTAAACCAGGTGTATTGGATCTTGGAGGCAGAAGAGTCAGTTGCTCTTTTTGCCATAATTTTCTCTGCGAGGATGATCAATTTGAACATCAAGCCATTTGTGTTTCGTGCGATCGACTTGGTCAGCATTCACGTCTCTGTTGTAAGGCTTGTTTCTGTGTGACCATACGAGGAGCAAAGTGTTTAAGCAAGAAAAAGGAAAGCAACCTCCTTGTCCTAAATGTGGACATGAAACTCAGAGACCGAGGATCTCGGCATATCAACACGCTCCTTGAAATTTGGCAGGCAGGCTGGAGGTGAAGAGGGCGATGGAGCTTCTGGGTAGGAGGCTTTGGGGGAAGAATTTTCATCTGACAAACATAGGGAGAGCGGCTACCATGAGGAGGAGGAGGAGGGTGAGAGGGAAGAAGAGGAAGGTGGAAAGGATTTGGATGCTGAGTCATCAGATTTGTTCACAACTTTGAATTTAGGAAGGACTTAGGCCAGCAGTTACGCTCACTGAGGAGCAAGAGAGCTAGGAGAGCTTCTTCCCTTGGTGACCTGGTGTGAGGGAAGCAGGAATGTGTGTGTGCTTGACGAGCCATTTGCAGATACTCAGAATGCTGTCATCTGGCCTTGGGCAAAAGACTAGTCACGTTTCCTGGGACAACTTGTAGGACACAGCATTTTTATAGGAATTAATAATCAGGCTTATAGCATAAAAAATAAAGTTTAACTGTAAGATGTGGGGCCGGCACCATGGTGCAGTAGGTTAATCCTCCACCTGTGGAGCCGGCATCCCATATGGGCGCCAGTTCTAGTTCTGGCTGTTCCTCTTCCAGTCCAGCTCTCTGCTGTGACCTGGGAAAGCAGTGGAGGATGGCCCAAGTGCTTGGGCCCTGCACACGCATGTGAGACCAGAAAGAAGCACCTGGCTCCTGGCTTCAGGTCGGCACAACTCTGACCGTTGTGGCCCTTTGGGGAACAAAGACCTTTCTCTCTGTATTTTCCTCTCACTGTCTGTAACTCTACCTCTCAAATAAATAAAATAATAAAAATTTAAAAAGTAAGATGTTAATTGATTCAAGCAAATGAATTGATTCAAGCAAATGAATCGTGAATTAGATTATTACTGGTCTTGGTAATCTAGTAGGCTTACCAATTAGATCCCTATGTACAGGATAAAGGAATAGGTGATATATTTATTTGAAATTAAATTACTGTTTTTATTAAAACACTGCATATAAATTCGCTGTATCTGATTTTGTAAAATGTAGCCATAGAGAAAATAAATTACTGTATTTTTGCTTTTATTTCTGTTCACAAAATGAATATGCCATAATCTAAATTTTCATTAACTATTATGTCATATTAAAAAGTGGGGGTGATAGGGCACATCACAGTCCAGGTATGCAAAGTGAAGAGCTTGAAGGGTAGCAGAGTATAGCTGTAAAAGCACAGGCACAGTTTTTTTTTTTGTTTTTTTTTTTTTTTTTTTTTTTTTTTTTTTACAGGCATAGTGGACAGTGAGAGAGAGAGACAGAGAGAAAGGTCTTCCTTTGCTGTTGGTTCACCCTCCAATGGCCGCCGCGGCCAGTGTGCACTGCGCCTATCCGAAGGCAGGAGCCAGGTGCTTTTCCTGGTCTCCCATGGGGTGCAGGGCCCAAGCACTTGGGCCATCCTCCACTGACTTCCCGGGCCACAGCAGAGAGCTGGCCTGGAAGAGGGGCAACTGGGACAGAATCTGGCGCCCCAACTGGGACTAGAACCTGGTGTGCCGGCACCGCAAGGCGGAGGATTAGCCTATTGAGTTTGGCGCTGGCCGGCACAGGCACAATTTTAAACGACTATTTTTGGGCAGATATTTGGAACAATGATTAAGATTTCCCTTCAGTTGTCTATATGCCTCATCAGAGGGCCTGGGTGTGAGTTTCAGCTCTGCTTCAAATTCCATCTTCTTGTGACTGCACACCCTGGAAGGTAGCAGGTGATTGCTGTGTCCTTGCCAATCATGTGAGAGACCAGGATTGAGTTCCTAGCCCCCAGCTCTTACCAGCACCAGCCCTGGTTGTTACAGGCATTTAGGGAGTAAACCAATAGATGAAAGAGCTCTCTCTCTTTGTCTCTGTCTCTCTGCCTTTCAAATAAAAAGAAAGGAAGGAAGGAAGGAAGGAAGGAAGGAAGGAAGGAAGGAAGGAAGGAAGGAAGGAAGGAAGGAAGGAATTGTTATGAGGCAATACATGAGCACATTTAAAATATTTAAAAATACTGATAAGAAAAAGTAAAAGGTAAAATATGAAAACAGGGGAATAAGAGCATTAAAGAATGTATAGTTACAAAGGTAAAACAAGAATAAAATATAAAACTTTCCAAATATCCATTTTTTATAAAAGAACTAAGTACACTTCTCATAGAAA